ATATATGTGTGTGTATGTATGTATGTATGTATGTATGTATGTATTTTTTATGGAGGAAGGTGCCAACAAAGGCAAAAGTGCCGAGGGCCCACAAAAGTCAAATGCAGCCCTGCCCTGCTCTGGTCCGAAGAGCCAGGCTGGCAGGGATTCCCTTGGGCCCCTGAATCCATGGTGATCTCCCTCACCCTCTTCACTGTTCGGTAGCAACTGCGGTCTGTCCCTCCCCCCTCACCACTTAGGATCTGGAATATTTTCTTTTATGTTATTTCTTTTTAAGGACCCATTTCACATGCCATTTCCGTCACTTGGCTATAGCTATCTGGAGCACGTGGTGAGAAAAATTCAAGAGGCTTGTCTGGGGTCCGTGGGAAAGAATGTTGTGATCCATTAGTGGTGTCTCTCCTCAGCTTGTGATGGGGGGAGGGGAGGAGGGGCAGGACGCATGCTCTGCCCTTGCTTATAAGGAAGGACCTTTGCCTTATATCTCCAACTGGATTGACCGCAAATTCCACAAGGTAGAGTTTGCCTTACTCATGCTGAGCATCCCACATCTACTGATCTAGAAAGTCTCCTAATACCTATTGATTTATTGATTGATTGATTGAAGTAATGTCTGTGAATAACACATTTGATCCAGTTGAATGCCCCTTTGACATGCTTTCATTCTTTTTTTCCCTCTTTAGACGTCTGAACAAGAATAAGCTCCAAGTCCTTCCAGAATTGCTTTTCCAGAGCACACCGAAGCTCACCAGACTGTGAGTAGAATGGAACTGTGTTCTCTTGCCTGGCTTTGGTTATGTGGAGAATGTGGCTGCCTTCATGCGCAGAGCCCCAGGCGGCTCGGAACCTGGCGAGTAGGCCTCACTCAAGGAGACTTGGGTATCCATGTGCTGTGCCCCACACTCCCCTCCAGGCCCGATTTCCTTGCCCCCTTCCTCCAGAGGTTGGCGGCCTGTGTGGCCAGTGGGGGCAGGCAGCAGTGGTAGTGTCCCAGAGGGCATGGGTTTGGACAAAGCATTTCAATGTCACCACTTTGCTGGCTAGACCAGTCCCACCTGCTGCCTACTTCCCACCATTGCCAGTCAGAGAGCCCTGGGGCTGGAGGCCTGTGATTTTGTGGGAAAAGAAACACCTTGAGTTTTGCTTTGTCTTCTGGAATGTTCCAGGATATCCTGAGGAGGGGAGAGTTGGAGATGCCTCTGTGCATTTGTTCAGTGTGAGTTTGGAAGCTCAGAAGCCAGAGACACACGTCAAGAAGGGGGTTGTGATTCACGTGCAGTGGGTGTGAGGCAGGTGCTAATTATTGGCAGTGAACAGCTCCATGGCTTTGAGCTCTAAGTTCTGCTGGCATGGACGAGGGTATGTTATAGGGTGAACCGGGTTGCCCAAGGCTTGCCTGTCTGAATGGAGCTGCGCCATGTCTGGCTGCTTAGCAAGCAGGCAGTGAAATTTACAGCCTGGCTGGGGAGACTCTGCAGGAATGTGAGGGTTTCCAGTCCCCCCCTTCAGTCAGGAGCCTGGGGACAGCATCGCTGCTGCACACCTGCCCCGCAGAGCATGAAGCCCTCGGGCTGAGCAGCGCACTGCTGACAGCAGCCCTGTTCTTTGAGGTCGTAAATGCCCCCCCTCACATGCTTGGCCCTTTGTGACCTCTTTCTAGTCCCCTGTCCTTCTGAAGTCTTCAGCCATCACCTGGGATGAAAGGGGGGAAATAGCAAAATCCCACTCAGGGGATATATCTGCTTGGTGCAGTGCGGGGAGCATGGGCTTTGGGGTCGGTAGGTGAGAAGCAGCTCATTTTTTCATCCCTCCCAGTTTGCTTCTCTGGCAAATGGGAGACTACTGTTCCCCCAAGTAACCAAATATACACTGTTCACTCTGAGTGGAGGGTTCAGCCAGGCTATGAACTGTCTTGTCCTCCAGGGGGTCCTGGGGGCTCAGGGGATGGAAGATTAGGGGACCCTGTTGAGGCATTCGCAAACTAGACTGTGTAGAGATGCTAGGGCAGAGGCAGGCAGGGTAGGGAGCATGAGATCGGGTCTCCTTGGGCTCATACTCCCAGGAGAGCAGCCTGCATGGAGGCCACCACAATGACAGGCTTCCCCCGGAAACTCAAATGCCTTCTTTTCTGTGGCATTAGCGCGGACCCTTTCCAGGGGAGAGTGTAACTCCGCTGCCACCATCCAACAAGGGGCAACCCGCCTGGGCAGAGTTTTACCTCCAGCCACACTGCCACCTAGACCATGGTCCCTGACCCAGGGCCAGCTGTGTCATGAGGCACGGTGGGGACAGTGCCCAGGGCCAACAATGCTTTTAGGGGCCCATGAAAATGTTTTAATTTCTTCTAAACTTAGAAGAAAAAATAAATATGAGCTTTCAGATCAGAGTACATGTTATAATATAGAATATTAATATATTTGTTTTTATATTATAATATTATATTATA